ACTCATCGTATGCTATTTTCCACAGTTGTATCCTCCAAAAGGAGTTTTCAAAACAAATAAACTAATCCAGTTTCACCTGAAGGTAATTTTTTATTCATTTACGTCCTTCAGTGCGGTCCACAACCTGCTCAATTTCTCTGCTCTTTATATTGTATTAGAATTCTTTGAATAATAGCAAAAACATGGTTTTTCGATCGTCCGTAACCAATCTCAGAATTTTTTGAGCCTCAAATTTAACATTCTAATTTTAAGTACCGTTTGATAAGAATAGTCAGAAAAATGCATTCATAGTGTTGACAGACATTAAACACCAAATTTATCACTTCCTCGCTATAGTCGTTCGACAGTTCACGTCATCGAATGGTAATACTCGTCTGCTATGTAACACTTACGCCAAATCCAGTTATAAGTGACATGCAGATTGTGCCAGCCAGAAACGATCCTGGATATTCAAAAAATTCGGGAAACGTGAAGGGCAAAAAGCCCATTTTCGACAACTTTTCTCTCTAATTATAAATCCGGTTTCTCACCAATAAAATTCGTTCAACAAATTTGACAACAAACAAATCAACAGAAAGATCACTTATGCAGATATACTCTTTCTTCTTACCCCCCCCCCCCTTCTTTCACCGGCTGTTTAGCGCAATTTTCTAGACATGTTGGCACAAACGAACTGCGAAGGTTTGATCATGTCACTACAGCAGTCGCTGATGTGGTTGTGTGCTCAGTATATTTTGTCACCTTTGATTTAACTGGTTTGGCGGCTGGAAGGCGGGTTTTTGTGACCTAAAGGAGCTCGCGCCCGCGACGCCGCCTGTGTGACTTCTGCGCGCGTGCTCTCTGATCATTACCTACTCAGACAGCGGATAGGACCCCTCCGCCGGAGAAATGGCAGGGCCGCGGGTTTCCCCAGCGGTGGGTCTGCCACTCGTCCGCCGGAGCCCTCCCATTTCTGCTCCGGAGACCTCCCATTTGTGCTCCGGACCCCTCCGATTTTCTGTGGCGCGGCTGTTCCAAATCTGGCGGACTAGCGCCGGGCAAAGTTTTCCGGCGCGGCTCTGCCAAATCTGGCGTACCTCCGGAGCAGAAATGGCGTATCTTTGCAGCAGGGCCGGAGAAGCGTCCCACTTGCCTGCCAGTGATGTCACCGCGACCTACAAGAAGGGACCGCCCATTTGCCCCGCTCTCATTGGTCAACTGGGTCCGGCGCGACTCTGGCAGATTTCGACTGTCCGGCGGAGGGGTCCGGTCGATTGTCTGAGTAGCCTCAATTGGGTCACGAAGCCCCGCCTTTCAGCCGCCAAGGCGATCAAGGGGTAGGAACAGAGGGTGCAACAAATACCATCGCTACAAAATTTGCAATGCCCCGCTCACTCCATAGTCGGGACTAGAGTTACTTGTAGGATTTTCGTGATATGTAGGCCCTTCTGCAATCTGTCTAGCACTTCCATCGGTTGCTGCATTGCAGGAACTGAGAGTACAAAATTTTATTTGCAAACGAAGATGTAAATCATTTCAGGGTTCATTTCTACTTTTATCAGCGTTCCTCGAAGAAGTCATAGAATCACACAACAAACGTACGTCATATCCCTAACAAGTGTTAGTGGTGAAGTCGCAAAAATTTCTTCGCGTGATGGATAAAGACGCATGTTTATCCTTTCTGAATGAACTTTTGGGAAGTTACTAGAATTTTCAGGGCATACACTCCCAAATGTATTAGAAGAGAAAATATTACTCTACATACATAGTTCGTCTCTACGTTGTAAACAAGCCTTTTGTTTATTTTGGCCTTGCATTCGAATTGCGCGCACTTGCAAAGGATGACCGTGGAGCATGTCAGTCGTCTGATAACTTTTTTTTCAAAGGCAGTGACTCGCGAAAATTGCGACTGCTTTCCATAGTTACTTGAACTTCTGAAGCCGCTGATTTCAAGATCGTGCTTAAAAATTTAAAAAAGCTTCTTATGGCGTTTCCCGGCCTTAGAGATTGTTAGGGTGGAGGAGAGATTTCCATCAAAAACAGCGACTGGCTGCAGGAAACGAGACTACTATTGAGTGAGCAGTCGTTGGAGTTTTAACGTCCACTTTATAGAGCTAAGCGCATGAATTAGCAGGTGGAGTTTGGTCTACAGTGTACTGGGTCTACACCTAAATTTATCAAAACGAGAAGGGCCCATTCTGCAAATCCACTGCCTTCAAACGTTTGTTCGTGTTAGTGTCGCTTCTGCTTGCATGGCATGTTTACGAGACTCCTTTTGTTTTTGCCGCAAAACGGGAGTCCGTGCTTTCAGAATCTGCCCTGGACCCCCCCCCCCCAACACGCTGCTCGTCCACAAATTTGCGCCCTTCGGCACCTGCCATACTTGATCCTGTTGATCCGCTTGGTCCACTTGATCCGCTTGATCCGCTTCGTGCAGAACGCGTGCAAAATGCGCGCACCAGTCTGTCATTTGGCGCCGTTTAGGTAAAAAGGAATTTTGTGTGGTTACGGCAAATACGCTGTACGCGACGTCAAATGACTCAGTGGATCAAGCGGATCAAGCGTATCAAGAGGATCAAGTATGGCGGGTGCCTAACGTGTTGCAGCAGCAACTCAGCTGATATATAGCCAACACGTTGTTCCTAACCTGTCGTTGCATGTTGCCAATGTCGCCAACATGTTTATGCATGCCACAAATGGCACAAAACAGGATTAGCAGCAAATATGGAGGACGATATCAGCCCATCGTGATATTGACTTTCGTCTCTGTGTCATTTTATGGCTCTGCTTATTCTTTCTTATTCTCCCTTAATAGTTCTTGATTGCGTGCCCGGGCGGCGCTTGCACCGCAGCACATTTTTCGTCGTAGGACGTTCGAACCCGGCCGGGTTTCGCACGGTTCTCATGCGCTCACTAAGGCAGGCGCCATACTTAATCCACTTGATCCGCTTCATCATTGGTCATTTCAGTAAACTGACCAATAGTGGAATGGATGAAGCGGATCAAGTGGACCAAGCGGATCAAGTATGGCGCGTGCCTAAAACATTTCTTATCTAGTGCGCGTTGATGAGGTAGTTACATATCTTTTGGCATACGCATGCACTATTTCCGCTGATTCTCATCGTCGATTGGGTGTTAATGGAAACGATGTTTGCATAAGGTAATCCAGGACTATAGGCTGTCTCCTTATTCGCAGCAGCTCTCTGTATGCATGTACTTGTGTACAGTACATCTTTTGCAAATAGGCGACCTTGTTGGTTAGTGGCTCGACGCAGAATATACTTTGTTTCTTCTTTGGTTGAAGTTGCTATCTCATTTGTGTTCATTTGTAGATCTAAAATGCACTTGTAAAAGTTGTACCCTCTGTATTTACGGAAATGGAATCCGAAGGAAGTACATCTTCAATGCGCGCTAACAAGTGCTAAAGTGCTAATACCCTAAGCAATACAGCTTGTCTATTGATTTTTTCTCGCAAACAAGATGGATTATCAACTGGCGAAGAAGTCTTCATTGAGCAGTGATATGCTCCGCGGCAAAGACGTGCTGCTAGTAAACAACGCACGCATCCGAACTTTTCAATTTGTCATTCCTCCAATAATTCTCGCATTATCTGCCTCTTCACTCTCCACATTTCAAGTGTTTTTCATGTGTCAATAATCTCTGGTATTAATTCTGTCTTGGAAAAGACTAAATGTGACAATTCGCTTTTTTTTAATCGTATCAATGCTTTATTGCTTATCTTTCACCTTTGACTTTTTATTTACGAGATCGCCTTACCCCGTCAAGGTAGCTTGCGTTGTTTATGTTTTGTAAGTTCTTGTTTACTATCGGACCGCCTCTCTCTCCATTTGCTTCGGTATTACTGATGCGAGATTGAATCGTCTGCGTCTGTCTTTCGCGATTCCGAGGAACACATTAATCATTTTTAGTGTTTTTAGAATGATTGACGTCAATAGATCAACGTATTACCATTTTAACCCAAATTTACTGTTATATTTTACGATCTCTAGAATTGCGACTAACTTTAATTACGTATGTTTCTAGCTTCTAAGAAGTACTTGAATGGTCCTTATTTTTTTGCATGTTTGATAATATTACCTTATTTGCACTATACTTCAGGTTATGCTATTTTTCTTAGAATCGTTGAATCGAAGCTGGGAGTTTCTAGAAATTTCAGCGTCGGGTAAATTTTTATCCATCTGTCATCTCACGTGCATGAAAATGTCATTTGGAATCAGCACATTTTACTTCCTTGTGTGACATCCTTACGTTGAATATAAACAAAAAAATCATGCTATCAGCGAATCGATTCATAATGCGTTGTACTTTTGTTGTTCGGCAATGACGAAACGGAATTAACCTTTGCTCCCTTGAGAAAACTCGTGAAAATGTTTGTGCTGAGCTTTTTCTTGTTTGTGGGCGTGTCAGCACTAAACCACGCGATCAGTACAATAGCATATATACGCTTTCATTAGCACGTATGAGCATGTGTTTTGTTTGTTCAGCTATTGTCAAGGTGAATCGTCACCTGTTATAATTTGTTGCTAAGCACTTTCGTTCTGCTCGGTACATGCAGATTCCAAAATTTCCACTCATTTTGATTTATTTGAACAGGATAAAATGGGTGTCATTAGTTCAAAATAGGAGGTTCAGGTAAACCTGTGAATCACAGTAAATAAATCACCAGAAACAAGAATAGAGACATCACAACTAATAATCGTCTTCGACTCTTTTGTCGTTCATCTAGACCTGCGCAAGTGTCTTACTTATGTCGTGTTCTAGTTCCTCTCATCACTCTGATTGACAAACCTGTTCTGTTGATTTCGGGGACACTTTTAACCTTGTGCGCAACTCAGAAAAAAATTCCCGTGTCTGAATTTCTCTCGTTGGGCTAGACATACTTGTGTGCCATGTCTTTACAGTCGTTTTCCTTTCTAGACTTTTCATGTAGCTATTGTTATTCCAATGACCGTATTAGCAATGACTCATTTTCTGTGAAAAAAAAAAAACAAAAAACTATCGTTTTAGCCTACTCCGCTGTCATTTTGTGCCATCGTTTCATGACGCCCACATCGCTTGTGATCTGATTGAAACACCTTCATACTAGGCAATGCTTTACACTGTTTTATCAGTACTTAGGTGAGTCAAATTTGTGAATCGTATATAACAAAAACAACTGTCAGTCAACTTATTAGAAATACATGTGACGATATTTTCTCCAAAAACCCTTTCAGCCAAATTTATTGCGATGGACCAATTCTTAGAACTGTGCAGGATTCGTATCTATTCCCTGACTCGAAGCATTTTGTTGATATGTCGTTGAAGTTTGATCCAAGTAAGCTCTTTCCTCTTTTCTCCTTTTCGCAAGTCTTTTGTTTATATCTTATCGTAAATTCTTTTTTGTCATTGCTTTGGAAAAAGTCTGTTTATTTGGACTTTTGGGATGTTTGTTTTTGTTCGGCTATGTAAATTCACGTGAAATCGCTGAGGTGTGCTTATCATGTGAAGCATTAGCGAGGACAGTGAGGGCGATCAATAGTGAGATCTTGAACTCGTATTTCAGGAATTATCTGGAGTTGAGAATTTGGTGAAGTAGAAGTTAGGGGAACAGTGATTTGAATGCCGAAAGTGTTGTGTATTTATGGGAAAAAGTTGCGAAAAGGTGCTCATTACTGGATGTGTTGATCTCTATTTCAGCTAAGTAAATCTTAAGATAGAAACAACGAATTGGGTACAACATGATGCTTATCTTATTTCCAACCTAAGTATCTATTTTCGACTCGTGATCTTTATTTGCTAAATTAGAATCCACGGATGTACCCTTTTTCAATCTCGATGCAGTTTCTTGTCATCATCGTTCTGACACCTGTCTAGTCTAATAAGGCAGATATGTGACGTGATTATTCTTCCGAAAAATTTTGCTAGCATTGCGGATTAATCGAGTTTAATAACATTCTGGCTCATGTGAGTCATTTGAGCTGAAATTACATCTTATTTATGGAACGATGGTAAAGTTATCTTGCTCACTTCTGCTTTATTCCAAGGATTCTAGAACAGTATTAGTGTCTTTGAAAAAAACTAGTATTGCTAGCTAAATCTATAAATTGTGATGAAATTTTTGTTAGCCTATCTTTTAGAAAAACTTTTTATAAACTTTTAACACTGCTCTGTTTATTTGAATTTTCATTCTTTGTTGAGGAGAGTGTTCAATTTTATTCACTGGTAATCTTCCCATTCATATTTGGAAGAGGGACTTTGACCTGCAAGTTCATTTTCAATTTCCTGGTATACTTGTTTGCGTCAGTCTGAGGGGTTAAACCGGTCATTTGCCGAGGTCACTGATATCGGAATTATTGTAGGGCATTTGCGATAACGATAACCGTTAAACCCTGTGAAAACTTTTAATACCGAATAGTGGGGGAAGGGCTAGTAAGTCATGTACCAGACAATTGTTCTTTGTGCGCACGTGTGCAGTTCATAGAACGCGACATGGAAAAAATGTCACACCTCGATCACAATCTCGTCTACGAGATGCGCACATATAACACAAGATCTACGGTTTTGTTGAGGTGCAAGGTGGATTCCGATTTCTAACTGGGAATGTGAATACTTTCTTTTGCGACTTCCAACATCGATAATCAAATTATCTCATTCGCAACTCTTGAATTGATTATGTGACAGTTGAAGAACTGGGAAACTAACGCGGTTACCGGCGCAGCATGCGTCGAAGAAGGGGTCGGAATACTTTCTGAAATCAGTATTCGGGTGGATTTGTATCTGATCTAGTAATCATGTTGTTCACCTGTAACAAGATTTTTCATTATCAGTGGATCATACGCGGTTCACTCAGTCAGGATCTTCTGCTATTTTAATTGCTTAGGAGACGAGATAAACCTGCCGATGAACTTTTTGCCCATTTTACATCCAACCGTCGTTGATGGCGTTGATTTAATGCGATGCGGCAGAATCACTGTCTAGTCATTGCAAAATCGTACGTACACGTGGACAGTGCAGTAAATTAACCGTAGTCCTACACTAAGGGACGTTTTTGTGTGATGACGCGAGTTGTTTGACAAAATGTGCATGTGTTGCTAACACCCGGTTCTGGTGTTGGGCTTTCAAGCTAAAAATTTTTTTTGTGAATATAGATGAATGCAAACCAGATATTTGTGCAAAGTTTCTTAGATCATTGCACCGCACTATCCATGAAAATTTTACAAAACCTCTCACGGGTATTTCTAAGTTCATGGGGCAGACCAGTCTTCAATGGCTTATTGTACTGTGGCCTGAACGTAATATCTTGTGTCACTTTGAATGCACTCTCCTCAATTTTTTGCTTCCGTCAAGACATGGGCAGCATGAATTGAATCGAGGCGGAAAGCTTCGAGGCTCTGTCGCATATCATTCTAACTGAATCTTAAATCCCCAGAAAAGCAAAATAAGGTTGCCACCAGAGAAAAATACATGCAGACCACTGTTGCTAGTCATTGTCGTTATCGCTCTGCACCAGCAGTAATCAAATGAGCCATTTTACACATACGAATGTCCAATAATTTTGAGAAGTGGTCATATTGGCATTCTTATGCTATGCTAGTAGTACTTCGTAATTTTTGATGTCATTTCGCTAGGAAGTTATGAGAAACAAGAAATCGCGGGCAGTGGTTTCCAGCTTGTAAACTGAGTGCGGTGTGATCGTCTGCATTTCTTGGTAAAACAATCTGAGTTTGTCTGTCGTTGTGCAGAGTGAAGAGTACGGTTTTTTTTTATTACTTCATGAAGGTGTCTGATGATCACTTTTGTAGATGCATACATTTTGCAGTTAAGATCTTCGAAAATTAGGGAGTCATCCAAATGTTCTGTCCCTAAATGTGATCTATCTCCAAGTGTGAAACAAAACTAAGAAATTTTTTTCAGTTGCTACACTAAGAAACTTCGACGAGTTAGGAGAAAAAACGAAGGATGTTGCTGTACTTCGAGAGTTTGTGAACTCGCATTTCAATCCACCTGGCACAGAACTTGTGGAATGGTATCCTCGCGATTGGGTCGATTTTCCTTCGACTTTCTTGAATATTCATGATTACCATCATCGACGATGGGCGCTCCATCTGCATCGTATTTGGAGAGATCTGTGTAGACGGGTTTGTCGATTTTTTCAAACAATTTTCTGGGCTGTTTCTATGTGTTTTACTATTCAGGTACGGGAAGATGTTCGCAAACATCAAGATCATTATTCTCTTTTGTATGTCCCTCATCCATTTATCATTCCTGGTGGACGCTTTCGGGAGTTTTATTACTGGTTAGTCTTTGAAAATTTGTTTTGATCCTTTTTTTTGCTCTATACACCATATGAATCTATTTGCGCTGGAACATTAGCTCGATTTCATCGTACTTTTTCAACTGTATTGGATTGGCGCTGACGTTGTCAATCACATCAGTTCAGCAATTTAGGGATTCTTTCTGGATTCTCAAGGGTCTCATTTTCTCTCAGATGTATGAAACAGCTAGAGGGATTATTAAAAATCTGGCTTATATGGTTGACAAGTAAGTTGTAAATTTGCCACGTTTTCTATGTAAATAACTGAACGGTATTCTTTAGTCATGGATTTGTTCCAAATGGTGGCCGAGTTTATTATCTCACGCGGTCTCAGCCGCCGTTACTCATACCCATGGTTTATGATTATTTTCTCGGCACTGGCGATCTGGACTTTGTGATGGTTGGTCGCTGGTTTCTTTTTTTTTGTTGGAGTATTTATAGACCAGTGCGTCACCTCTGCTTCGCAGAGGCTCGCACTGGTCCTACTTTATATGCTTTACTCATTCTCGCCTAATGATGACTTTGAAACTCACCGCGCAATGCCGACTGTCACGAATAAAATGTAAACAACTACTCATTCCAAAGCCTTTTTCATGTGAGATCGGTGATTTCGCGTGGATGGAACTTTTCGCAGAAGAACAAATGCAAATTTGAATAGCTTTTTGAACTTCTTTTGGTTTGTTGGTCGCCGTAAGGACACTAATTGCCATGAGCTACATTTCTATACAAAAATCTTTTCAAATGCTCAGGTAGAACCACGGCGATTGACCATTTAAGCAGCCATTTCTTTTTGGCGTCGTTTTCGTAAAGTAGTAGACCTTTTGGTCACCTTTTGATCTAAGGTCCATGGCTTGCACATTAATATGCCGAATACGTCAACGACTTTGCAAAAAGCTTGATACGGACCCAATTTTGCGTGTCAGAAGCCAAGTGGATCCCTCTAACGCGCAATTTCTGAGGGACCCACCCAACGAATCCGCTCGCGCTTTTGCATGGTAGAGTTCTACGCTGGGAGCATGCGCTATGCAAAATTTGGGCTCAGGACGTTGGCTGGAACTCGCTCTACGAATTTCGTTACAGACAGACACACAGACATACACACACACACACAAAAACACGTAAACACCCTTAGCCCGTTATTATAAGTAATGATGGTCATTATCTGAGAATCTCTCTCCTGCGATGAATGGCAAGAATGAGTGATAATGTTTAGGAGATATTACCGACTCTTGAGAAGGAATTCTTGTTTTGGATTAACAAGAGATCCCGAATGTATCTTGATAAGGATGGTAAAGAAAAGTTCCCGTTCTACCAATATAGGGCCCAACTACAAATGCCACGACCGGAGTCTTATAGGGAAGATTCCGAACTTGTACATCATCTCAAAAGTAATGGTAGGTCCTAGTGTTTACGTTAATTTGTGTACTGTTTCTTTGCAACGAAGAAATGTATTCGTTCAGAGGAGAAAGTGCGAATGTGGTCAGAAGTAGCCTCAGCTGCTGAGACCGGATGGGATTTCTCTACGAGATGGTTCTCGCAAAGTGGCGAAGGAAGGCACAATATGAGGAGCATTAGGTGACGCATTACTAACCACTCAAGAATCTTTTTGCGCTAATTATGAAAGCCGTCATCTTGATTCTAAAAAAGTTGTTTTACACTACAAACGCTCTAATGCGGAAGTGATTGCTGACAGAGTGATTCTTTGCGGCATAAAATTCGTGACTTATATCAAAATCAAGTTTACTTTTCAGATTCAAATTAAAGAGATCTGTCTGTTTAATTATGAATTTCTGCTAGATTGTTTAGCAGTTTAGAAGAACGACGAGTTAATTTCATTAATCACGTTTAACCTTTATAGGACATGGAGCATAGTGCCTGTCGATCTGAATGCCTTCATGTGTGTCAATGCCAGGATCTTGGCCAGTTTGTTTGAAATCAGAGGTAAGCCGCACCCAAGCAATTTTTGAAATAATTTTTGAATTTTGTAGGCGATGTAAAAAAGGTTGCTTTCTATCAACAACGTTACGAATGGGCGAAGCGTGAGATGAAAGAAATTCACTGGAATGAAACAGATGGGATATGGTACGATTACGATTTGGAGTTGAAGGTTTGTTAATTTCATCACACCTAAAATTGCTCTTTTGATTATTATTTTTTTTTGCAGACACATTCCAACACTTACTATGTTTCGAACGCAGTGCCACTATACGCTAAATGTTACGACGATGAAGACGATGTTGTACCTCGACGAGTGCTAGAATATCTACAGGTAACTTTCCGACCAGTTTGCCTAGAATTGGAATATTAGGATTTACTGCTTTATGGAAACTGCTGCTCTTGGGGCTACAGCTTTATCTCTTGGCAAATAAAGTCTCTCAAATATTCGACCATTCAGTCAGCTGGTGTGCTCAACTTCACGAAAGGTCTGCCAACTTCACTCGCCATGGGCAGTGAGCAACAATGGGATAAAGAAAACGCTTGGCCCCCTATGGTCCATATGGTCATTGAAGGTTTTCGAACAACCGGAGAACCAGATTTGATGGATGTTGGTACACCAAAAGCATTTCAATAAATTATGCTCAAACACTTCCAGGCCGCTGAAAAGATGGCTACATCTTGGCTTTCAATGACATATCAACACTTTATTCGAACCCATGCTATGTTTGAGAAGTACAATGTGACTACTCTGACCGAAGAACTTTCTGCCGGAGGGGGTGGAGAGTATGAAGTCCAGGTGAGACAGCGCTCTCGTGGTTCATACTTTCTGCAAGTATTCTGAATTTTCACATTTGCATTTTTGAGGAGGCCTGCTTTTTGCTTTTTTATTTCCAGTGGCGCTGTATAACGCTTTTTCCACCTTTCAAGTCTGATCTTGTCTGATTCGTTTTCAACATTGTCACTTCCAATTCTGTATGACTCCTTCCTAATCTTCTTTCTTTTTAACGACTAGTGTAACTGTTGCCATTTGTCACGAACATCTTGAAGTAATCGTAGAAGAAACTGAAGAAGATTATAAGTTGAGGGGGTTAGAACAGTAAGAAGACGTTAGTTGTTGATCTATTGAACTTTAGGCTATAATCATTTTGAAGCTGGGGGTAAGCGATGGTACTGCATAATGCGCAAAAAAGTTGTCGCCAATTTTCCTCTTTGACTATCCATTTACAGACTGGCTTTGGATGGACAAATGGTGTGATCCTCGATTTACTTGATAAATATGGCGACAAGATGAGAAGCTCTGGTGCTGCTAGTTTCTCAATTCTGATTGCTCCAGTTCTCATCCATATGTGGTTATGAGTGAAGCACAGTGCAAGTCCTTAATTTTGGATCAAATCCTATATTTCGTCACTTTGTGAAGACTTTAGGCAGTAATTGATTTTTAGAAATTAAATGAGAGAGCGGCTGATACTTATTTCTCAAGCCTTGCATTCTTGAACGAGTCCTCGGCGAGCGACTAAAACTTAGGTCGCTTTTGATACTAGATTTTTTTTTGATTCGAGTTCAAAACTAGCTAAATCATCCACTTATTGTTGAAGACACCGTCAAAATCCGTCAACTCTCACCACTCATCTCTACTCATTCAAATTTTATTCGGGTAGCAAGAGTCTCTCACCAAGTGTCGAGCAACCTATTCAAATCGTAAATTGTTGCTTCAGATAGCGAAAGTACTAGCTTTTTATTCGGGTTCATTACATCTTTGACTTTGATCATGTTTCGCTCTTTGCATTGGTTTGTACATACCTCTAGTCTCTTTTTAACATTTTTCGAAATTTTCGATCTTCTCAGATTCAGTGTGTTTAGCATTTTCTTGCCAATTTGTTATGATGTAACATTTAGCATTTCTCTAAGTTGGCATTCACTGATGTACCTTATATCAATCAGAATATGAAGATTTTACTTGTTTGAAAAGTAAAAATGTTCTATATAAATCAGCGATCCAGAAAGTTCCAGCTGTAAACTTGCTGACGACAATTTTTAGTCTCTAAGGATCCTCAAAATAAAACTATGGAGAGTTTGCAATTTTTTTTGCTGTCTTACAAGGAAGGGTCACGAAGTCGGAGTGGCCGAGCTCTACAAACGGCGTGCCATTGTGAAAGCTTTGAACGCTGATTACAAATCTGCTTTTTTAATCTGCAGAGCGCGTTTGGGAAGGAAGTTATGAGCATTTTTTGAGTTGAGAAAATGTTAATGGGCGGGATAAAGTCAATCATTACAGCCTCTCCAGATCTTGAATGAAGCAGCGTCAAATGTCAGGGTACTCCAGAAAATAAACTCCTTCTGCCTAATAAATCAATGAATTCTATCTTGCCATTTCTCGTCTAGAAAGGCTGTAACGATTGCTTACAGCTTTGCCGTTTGCTTCATATTTTCGTCTCAAAAATGCTACCAACTTTCTTGTACGGGCTCTGCAGAATGGAAAGCAGATGTAGAATCAGCGCTCCAAGCTCACATTACCGGTATGCAGGTTGTTGTGAAGGCCACTTCGACTTCGTGACCCTCCCTTATTAGTAAAAAAAACAGCACTAAGAATTGGAACAGTGTAAGCACTGAAGGAAAGCGGGGGGCGGTCAGAAGGTACGATCGGCGCGAATTTTTCGCGAAGCGACGCCGCAACGTAATTCAGCCCTTACAACAGCAGCGCTCCTGGAGCGCTCTTGCTTATAGGATTAAATCATGTATCTGTCCCTATCCTCACTCCCATGTTTTTGCCGCCGGGAATCTTTATTGGCAGAGAGTCTTGGAGGCCCCAAGATTTGAACGCGGCGTCTGCGGAAGAGCGGCCGCCGCGCACGGCGTACCTCCTGACGTGCAGCCGTTCAAGCCTTTGTCTTACATAACACAAAGAAGTTGAAGGCAGTGTTCAGTTACCTGAGGGGAGGGGAGGGGCTTTCTTCTAAGGCACGTGCCTTACTTGATCCGCTTGATCCGCTTGATACGCTTCGTGCAAAAGCGCGCACGCAGGAGTCTGTCATTTGGCGCCGCGTAGGTAAAAAGGAATTTTGTATGGTTAAGGCAAATACGCTGTACGCGACGCAAATGACAATTTAGTGACGCGCGTTTTGTACGAAGCGGATCAAGCGAATCAAAATCAAGAGGATCAAGTATGGCGGGTGCCCAAGGTACAGGGCTCCTAAATTGCAGAGTCGTTTGCACCAGCGGTCGCGCGACGTCGGCCCGTGCATTTTGCCGGCGCCGGCGCCATCGATCAAGACGGTGCCATTGATGCCTGGGAGCGACGCGGTCGCGCGACCGCTGGTGCAAACGACTCTGCAATTTAGGAGCCCTGTATACGGTATTCGAGTAATCGTGACGACGGTGAGACCGCGCGCGACACGCACGCATCTCCGGCAACCCATTCTCTTGGTTCTGCTTACATGTGCTAGTATTTAGACATTGGAAGTGATTGAGATGAGAGTTGAGGTGATGTCTTTTTGCATGAGTGTTTTCTGCTCATGTGTGCGCAAAGGCCGGACTCAAATCCGTCGTCACAATTTTATAAACTACCTACAACTATCCAAGTCCGATTGAAAAGGATGAATTTGAAGCGGAAAAAGTGCTCAAGTTGAGGAGGGGTATGTGCAACCACGCCTACAGTGGCTTCAAGGATTTTTTTGGACTTTCCACGCGTTTTGAACTTCGAATTAATAATCAAGGCCAAAAGCTTGGAAATGAAGATTTCCTGGTGCCTTTGTATTTAGTTGAAGCATAGCTGGGGAAGAAAACGCTAAAGAAAGTGTCGATAGTTAACCAAATACCACTTAAGGAGCTTTTGATTTCATTTCACGATTCCGATTCCGGACCGTTCGAAACGGCGGGAAATGAACATATTTAAATTATTTTTTAAAGTCATCTTATAGCAGCCAAGTGAAATATAGCGACTGAAGGGGAACATGAAGCAGGTGGATAAGTACAAAATGGAGTTTCTCGCTTACTGCGCCTTACAACCAACCAGTTACTATGTTTTTTTGAATTTATTTATTTTGAATAGTAATAGGAAATTAACAATCCACAAAAGCTAAAGTCCAGCACCGTGTTAAGAGTAAAAAAGGGTAAAGCCTGTTATACCGCATATGAATCGGTGCAGATGCTCGGCGGAGTCTATCTCAAGCCCCCTGCTTGCAGCAAAAGTGCTCTTAGGGCTCGGGCAGAGTTCACGCGATTTGATCGTTGCGATTCATCGCTACAAACAGGTGTTACGTTCATCGCATGCCGATCTTCTTGCATTTCGGTTGTGATAGTTTTCCGACAGAACCAATCGTGCCTAACTATCAGAACCGAATTACAAGAAGATCGGCATGCAATGAACTCGTAACACTTGTCTGTAGCGACTAAATCGCAACGATCAAATCGCGTGAACTCTGTCCGAGGCCTTAGACTATTCAACTTAAGCAACTGTGTATGCGGGGACTGGATGTAATAATAAAAATTGCCCGGCTAAGTTCTGGGGAGAGAGCAGAACTCCTAGATAAAAGATTTTGATGCAAAAAGATGTCAAGACAAGCTATTCCCAAATAACAATGGTGAACCAGACCCGAACCAACGTGTGGACGAAGTAAAAATCGGAACAACAAGTGACTAGAAGGTCCAATGATCACAAATTTGGTACTTGAAAAAGCTATCACTGGAAGACCTTCCGTGCGATGAGTAGGAGTGACACAGTTAGTCAGTTTCATAGTATTGGAGTTGGCCCAAGCAATACGCGAAGCAGCAAGTGTAGGAAGGTTGGTAGGCAACGGTAGCACTATACAAGTGATGACAAGAAGTAATTCTCTGGGAGAAATCAGTCAAATTTAATTCCTCAACTCTTCGTTTGAAAGTGAGACTATCTGGAAATGACAAATTTTCTTTAGGTAAAACTGAAGATATTCCGAAGTGCGTGCAAAAAATCTGTTTTCTGGTAAAGAGCTTAGTTGCTTACGTCCACCATTTAGATGTAAATAAACAGAAAACCCAGTGGTCCTTCCATGGCTAGGCCAACACCCAGTATTTAGAAGGTCTTTTGTCATTCTCGGACGATGTTGTCTTTTCACCGTTTGAAAATAATCTCCAATCTGGGAGTATGAAATCACTCGCTGAAAGCATCTTAGGATCTACATTATAGACATCAGCAAAGTCTGTTGAGTACACGGAATAATCACGTTAACAATGTTTAAGCAATTTTGGCACAACTGAGGCAGATTGACCTACTGGGATGTGCATTAAAAAATAATTTGTGCGCCAAGCAGAAGTCTCGTGAGCCACTCGCAACACATATCATGGAAACGCGCATTAGTAGACAGTTATGTCTTCGTAAGTACTTGGTTGGTATTTTTTGTTGTGTCGTATTTACACACTCTCCCTATCCCTTACTTTATCTTCATACGTTACATGTATTTTGTTTTGATACTCTGATGAAATCTTTGGAACATGAAGAATTTCACTTACAATTCAGCCATCGAGTGAACTCTTGTTGATTGGTTGTGTTCGCGTTAAAGGCACCGTTCACTAAGTTGAGGGTCTTGATCTTTTGGCAGCATATGATATTAACCAGCTTAGAACAGCGCAGAAAAATTTTTGATCTTGTTTTTTGCTTTCGAGTACTACGAAAAGAATTAAGGATCCCTGCAAGCAAGTACTGGGTTTTTAATGCCTACCAGTCCACGCTGCTTTTCTTTCAGTTTGCATTATAACAGGATCAAAAGAAGACAATTTTTGCTGACATACAACAACTTATTTTGCCGAGGAGCGAGATGGTTACAGCATTTACCTTCGAGCATTCTCAGTTCGACCTGCGGCTTTAGTTTCAAATCAAAATTAAGGAAAGTTGATTTGCAACAACTTCTGTTTAGTCAGTAATACTTTCTTAGATTAACTTTCTTTCCTTCTCAGCCGTATTGGTAGACAAGCCTACTGTGAATGGTATTACTCAAGAAGTTGTTATTGGCAAAGACATTCGTAATAATGCGTTGAAGAAGATGAAGGAGATAGGAGGGCGTGCATATCACATAGAACCATCAATTTCCGTTCTTTTTTTCGATATTAATTTCTTTCATATGTCCTAGTAACCTAATATTGCCGTCACGTTAGTTTAGATCTAATCAATTTGCTTCTCTTTTCAATCAATATAGATTGTTGACTTGCTTCTAAATGAATTACAAAATGTGAAACTATTTGATAGTTTTTTCGGAGTCATTGGACTCTCCCCGGAATTATTTGGGCAAGGTTTATCAATATTACTTCACCAACCGAGCCCCGCTTTGCTTATTTTATTATTGCAAGAGCATATTCTGCTGGCAAATGAGTTGGCATGATCGCCTTCTTCACAGATAACAATTACCTAATGATTCTTCCCGCCTATTTATGAATTACCCATTCACTACAACCCTTATTGCAATTCACCTAGAATCATTCTCACCTTGGCTTACTGGTCTGGTAAGTCAAAAAATAGAGCCACCATCAAACCTTGGCTGTTTGTTAATCAAAATCATTTTGCTGGCAAAAGGGGGCATGGGTCCATCTCCATGGACCACATTATTCTATTCTGATAATTATAATCATAGAGCAGTCAAATACAAGCCATCATCACACTTTTATCCAGATTGGACCCAGACTACGTGATGCCATGTTGTTACGGTTAAAGTATGTCGATCTTTCTTGATGTTTTGACGTTCTTCTTCCTACCATTTCTGTTCAACGTCTTTTTTCTATTCTACTGGATTTTTTTTGTTTTATAGTCTACACTTGATGCATTATGATTGAAATGGCGCACTTAAGTGCAATAAATATCAAATATCAAATATCAAACCCCCTATCAAGCCAATGTCCAAGTCACTGCAGAAAACGTCATTTTGGAAGCAAGAAAATCGCTCCGGATTAGCGAACATGCATGAGGACCCCCACCCAACACCCTCCCCATCCATGCCGGCTCAACTGTGCCCGCCTAGCCATTCACCGTTCCGGAAAGCCGGCCTGCGAGTTTTCGGAACGAGGGTTGTTGGATTTTTCGCGGATTCTCAACTTCATATTCGGAATCAGGGACATGATTAGGCCCCTAAACGACTAAAACATGAAAGTCGAGAATCTGGGTGGACGGTGCCTTCAATTGGTTTGTTTATTTGTCGACATGTTGCTGAGAGGGTTTAGCTATAGAGGTTTGAGGTGTTTATGTGCTTTGAAAGCGGTATCTATCGTGCATATCTGCCATGTTCCCTACCTCTGCTACCTATTGTGAATTGGACGTTTCATTCACAAAGACCAGGGGCGGTATGCATCAATCTCCCGTTTCGCCTGGCCGGGTTGGCCGCCCGACCCGTAATGTATGAACTATTGAAAATGATTGCCCGCTTTCAAAACGGGAGATTGATGCATACCGCCCCAGGTCCCACGTTGCCCTGTAAAGTGAAAGTGGGCAAAGGAAGCACGAAGCCAGGCCGTACAAAACTTGATTAGGAACAGAAGGTCCACCAAGCAGGAAGTGGGATTCCCAAAAAATCAAATCCTTTTTCAAAACAAGATTTGAGTTTGGAGGATATTTTCTCTTGTTCACCTACCCAGTTTTGTTTCCCGTCCACCACAGGTATTTTACATGGAAACTGATTGAGAAGCCTAGCAAACATACTGTTTGGGTGGTAGAGCAAATGACTTATTCGCTGTTGAGAAAGTCATATCCGGGGTCAAGCGTGGGGTAAGGCCCGCCACACCTGCTCAGATAATCGCCGGGGGCAGGCGGTCCGCAGAATTTTGGGGCGTGGCCAAACCTTCAGCGGGCGGCACTTCCTTTACGGTCGCATATTCTGCCGGGCAGCAGTACAGCATTTTTTGCAAGCGCTCGGCAAATAAATTCTTTCAGCGAGCGCTGGCCAAACTTTCAGCAAGCGCTCGGACTCTTTTTAGGCATTTTCGGGCGTACGTCGAGCGCAGGTAAGACTCTGTGTGGCAGAAGTGTCACCGTTGGTTTAATTACTCAAGTTTGAGGTACTTTCTCCCAGCGGAAAGTACCTGGGGGTTGCGCGGTCTTCCGCAAAGGACCGTGCGGCCCCCGAAATTTTTGCATATTCTCGCGGAAAGTCCGCGAGAATGCGGCCACTGTGCCGCAGCTCATCCATAAAGAAACCGCAATTGTTCTTCAAGCATTCGTCTTTGATTTCGCCAATTTTCTTCCAAATTTCTGCAAGCGGGCGGCAAAAAATCAACGAACTATTTTTCCGGTGCGCGCTTGCTCAAAATTCGCATGGCCGCTTGCCCCGGCGATTATCTGAGTGGGAGTCGTATTGAGGAGTCAAAACTGGAGGGGGTCGTAATTGAATAATACTGATAATAGTAATAACGTAATTTGTAAGCAGTTTGCCAGATAACCCCATCATGCGATATAAAGCACATGAATCTTGACTCGTATCGTATACCTACCGTAGCATGGTGAAGAGCCCCTACCAAGCATTGGAACTAATATAATTCATACTTACCATGTCAAATAACCCCTGGACGAAGTTTGGGCGAATTCTGAAATTCCCAGATACTGGGCCACCTGAGTAAAGTGGTCATTTTCGAACTTGATTAACTTTATTTCAAAAATGAATTAGCTATATCTTTTGACACTCCGTACTAAGTAGCACATCTATTTTGCCCAACCCAAAGATTTCGCCTCAAAAGACCTTCAAACTGTGGAGTTAGAAGCCAACAAAGATCTTGTCTTTTCCATTTTCCGCTTTTAATGGCTGTGCTTTCATCAACCGTTACTCACAGCAAAGAATACGAAGCAAGCTTAAATCACTCCTGTGAAATCTACGAGCTCCAAGCTTTTGAACCATATAAATACTACTCGCTATTAATGTTTTTTTGACATAGTTAATTGGGTGTGGCACAACCCCCAAAAAGCTGTGGCCGCCACAGCTTTTCTGGGATTGTGCCACACCTCATTAACTTACCTTGGAAAACATTTTCAGCAAGTGATATGCACATGATTTGATAGCTCAAACCTTGTAGAATTCGTTCTTTGCTCTGATAAGGAAAGCTACCTAACTTAGCTCGGCCTTTTGGTAAATGGCATATATATTCTGAATCAGCTTCAAACGCTGATTCCAAATATGCTATTCCTAGCTGCCACGCACCATTCCAAAGCGAGTTATGGGCATTTTCCTACGCAAAATTGGCATACTACTGAACATGGGAAGACTGCCTGTAGATAAAAATCTGCAAGAAAAAGGTGCTGAGATATCGAGATAACACAAATCCAACCTTTTCTCACTAAAAAAAGCAAAACGCAAGTGTATTAGCACTTGAGTGATGATGACGTGATGCCAGTAGGCTGATGAGTATGCCAGTTTTGCGCAGGAAAAAGCTCATAACTCGCTTCGGAATGGTGCGGGCAGCTAGGAATAGCATATTTGGAATCAGCATTTGAAGCTGATTCAGACTTTATATGTCGCTTGCCAAAAGGCCGAGCTAAGTTAGGTAGCTTTCCTCGTGAGTAACAGTTGGTGAAAGCACCATTAAAAGCGAAAATGGAGAAAACGCGATTTTTGTTGGCTTCTAATTCCACAGTGTGTAAATTTTTCGGAGCGGGATTTCCGGAGTGTGAAAAATAGGAGTGCTACCTTTGTATAGAGTGCCAAAAGATGTAGCTAATTCATTTTTGAAGTGAAGTTAATCATACTTGAAAATGACCACCTTAGTCAGGCGGCCCAGTATCTGGAAATTTCAGAATTCGCCCAAACTTCGTCCAGGGGTTATTTGACATGCATCATGAATATGTTAGCTCCTATGCTTGGTAGTGCCTTCAAGCTATGCCTCTCTTAGGTATGCATTAGTTCAGATGGCCATATTATGACAGCAACTGGGAGGGAGGGGGGAGGGGGTATCTAGCGATCCTGTGCCACACCTCTTGCTTGGCCCCGGCCATATCTCCTGTCCTCGGCACCATTACCTGATGGCTGCATCGGCTTGTTGTTTTTGCGCGGCCCCATCACGTGGACAGTTGGTCCTCCAGAGGTGGCACAGGGGTCTGAATATAGTTGTTACGAATTTTCAGTTGTGTCAGCGAGGTGAGGAAAGAGCAGACGAGCTCGAAGTAGATGTACTTAACACATACACATTTTATTTAGAGTGAGGGATTGAGACACAAAATGTTTGCAATAGAATGTGCAGATCAACAACTTTCATCATTTTCAACTTGGAACAAACACTTAGGATCTGGTCCATTTTTTAGTATTTGCTCCACAGCGGCGGTCAAGTACAGCGGCTTCTCTAGGAAAGTAATCGAATTGGTAGTGGAAAGTATGTTTTTGAGAAATCAAGTATTGATTGACCGCTTCAGATTCTCGTTTGGCCCCAAATCTTTTATCTTGTGCATTACTGGAATTAGCTAATGTTATATACTGTACTATCAGTGCTGAGGTATGTGTATCATTATGACCAGGTTAACCTTGTAGATTCATTGTGTGGTTCAATGTTTTTAGTGTGAAGAAACCGTGAAACAAATAACAGACATACTTGTTGTTTCAGTCAAATTTACTGTGATGGTCCCATTCTTCGAGCTGTGCAAGACTCATTTTTATTTGCTGACTCAAAGCACTTCGTTGACATGTCGCTGAAATATGATCCCAGTATGTGCAAATTATATTTTCACCAATGCGTCACATCTGCTTCGCAAAGGCTTGTTACTGGTCCTACCTTCCGTATACCTTCCGCGCTCGCATAAAACTTTAAAACTACTGCGCAGTGCCGATCATCATCTTAAATGATTCGTAAACAATTAATCATTTCTGAAGGTTTTCCATTAAGGCCCCGGACAGACTTCACGCGATTTGATCGTCGCGATCTAATCGCCGAGAATTCCATTCATTTTCATTTTACATTCAAAAATTTCGGGCTGGAAAAGTATCACAACCGAAATGCAAGTTGATCGGCATGGAATGATGTTGTAACAGTTGTCTTGTCGCGATTCAGTCGCGACGATCGAATCGCGTGAAGTCTGCCCGGAGCCTAAGGTTGGTCAAAGGTTAAAAACACTTCCGAAGAAGAACAAAAAGGATTAGTACTATAAAATTCTTGCCTCAGTAATCTCTGCAAAGGCAATAAACACCACGTGCTACATCGCTGAGCAAAAAATTTGTGAGCTTTTGGGTGAGACTTTAACGAATTGACGATCCACGCAATCACTATTTTCTATCGCCAAAAAAAGGCTTTCTCTCTTTTCAGACCAGAATCCGAGGCAATCAAAATTAAATGCCAAACAAAACTATAACACTGCATATGTCTATGTATCGGCCCAGTTTTCAAAGCTAGAAGCTCTGATTTTTAATCAGATTGGGAATGAAGCATCGTAAAAGGGATTCAATGTCTTGTCGCGTGTTGCACGCTAAGCTTGGCAATGTGTTTACGAGCATGATTGCAAACTTTTACAATCTCCCTCTCTCCCACTCTTTTCAGCTTGACTTTTGTCTAGTTCTAATACGGTTACAGCGATGTCGCTGCCCTTTCAGTTATAACAACGGCTTGCTATAAGTGTCCTTTCTACAATTCTGTTTAGAAAATTCACTGGAACTTTTTCAGTCATGACATTGAGAAACTTTGATGAATTGGGCGAGAAGGCAAACAGCATAGCTGTACTAAGAGAATTCGTAAATACACACTTTAATCCACCTGGAACAGAGCTTGTGGAATGGTATCCAAGTGATTGGGTCGATTTTCCTTCAAAATTTCTCGAGATACATGATTACCACCATCGACGATGGGCATTGCATCTTCATCGCATTTGGAGAGACCTATGTAGACGAGTGCGTCTGATTGTTTTTCTGTGACATCTCAGTCCATCTTCTAACGTTTAGGTAAGAGACGACGTTCGTAGACATCAAGATCATTACTCTCTCCTATATGTACCACATCCCTTCATTATTCCTGGTGGACGATTTCGAGAATTCTATTACTGGTTAGTTCCATTTCGCCGTTCTTGTCCTCTGTTTAAATCCTGTATGATTGTGTAACCAGCCAACGGGTTTGCAGAGGTAAAGTAAAAAATTGGAGGTGGTGGAGAGAGGGAAATGCTACTAGTATCGATCACCTAAGGTCTATAAACTTTTTTCCATAAGTAATCGGCAGCTCTGAAGCAACATCCGGGTACTCTTGCTGAAAAGGAGGGGGGGGGTATTTACCCATCGACTTTATACGAACACAAGTTTGCTGGCAATCACCTCACGACGTGTCTATGCACACTTGTCCCTGCTCTCATACATTTTATACAAATTGGTTGGGCTAAGGATGACATAAGATGTTTGTTGTACCATGTCTTCCTATTCGCAGCGCACATTTTAGGGACACCTACTGGATCCTGAAGGGTCTGATCTTTTCTGAAATGTACGAAACCGCCAAAGGAATGATCAAAAACCTTGCTTATATGGTCGACAAGTACGTGTACCTTACATCTCTTCGCATGTAAGAATTGGTACATCATATTAAGTACAGACCACTTCTTTACCCTTTTCACTTCTCTTGTTGTTTCTTTGTATTTGGAGGACATTTGGGATCAAAGTGTAAAGACAAAAAAGTAATGCATTCAAAAGAGAAGAATCAGCCTCTGCATGGAACAGCTATCTTCACCATTAGTGCGAGATATGGGAAAAATATCGCGCACTAACTCCATTAGTGAGGACCTGGATTGTCTAGAAAGATATGAATGAACGCAACAATTTATTGGGAAAGAGAACACTGAATAATAAACCACAGTTGTTGCCCGTGTATAGCGCGAGGTACAAAGTACGGTAGATCTTCGATGCGTCAAAATACAATGGTTGCGAAACATCTCAAGCAGATATCGACCTTTTCACAAAAAGTAGCAGTCAAAGAAGAAAGCTTTCCTGAGAGAAGCCTTTCTGTCTGTGGACAACCTTATACATATATTTTGCAGTCATGGATTCATTCCCAATGGTGGACGTGTGTATTACTTAACACGGTCGCAGCCACCTTTGTTGATTCCCATGGCTTTTGACTATTATCTGTCTACTGGTGATCTAGATTTTGCCTTAGTAAGTGCCTTTCTTCTACAATATGTACGATATAGTTCTACGAAGCATTCCGTGAAGCCTTAACTTTTAACGAAGTTACCCAAAATATTCTCCGTGGGGAACGTTGTACTGATACGTTGTACTTTGTGACTCTTATCTGCTTAGTCAATAATGGTTTATTGAGCTTTTGTCTCGTTACATGTCATCTCAGGAGGTCCTACCAACTCTAGAAAAAGAGTTCCTTTTTTGGATTACGAGAAGATCTGAGATGTTTACTAGCACAGACGGAAAACAGAAGTTTCCATATTATCAGTACAAAGCACAGTTGCATATGCCACGTCCGGAATCATATCGTGAAGATTTTGAACTTGTCCATCATTTAAAGCATAACGGTAAGTTCACGCATAGCTATAGGCGAGGTTAATCATATATATAAAGCTGGATGTCTGTTTGTATGTCTGTCTGTCTGTCAGTCTGTATGTCTGTCTGTCTGTGTTTACGCATGTTCCGAATAGAAAATTCCATTTCTGGGCCGATCTAGACCAAACTTTGTACATATAACCTTTGATTCAACTGCCTTGGCACAATTAGGGCGGGGTTTTGTGATCTTGAGGCCGCTCGCGCCCGCGACGCACCTGCGCCTTTCTCGCGCCAGTGCTCTCTGATCATTACCTAGCCTTAATTAGGTCACGAAGCCCCGCCTTTGCCGATGCCAAGCCAGTTGAATGAAATGGTACACTTCGGGGCCGGGCGGGTGTCATAGGGTTGTTTCATACTGCTGCACTGACTGCAGCAGTCTGCTGTAGTTAGTGCCGTCAGCTGCAGTCTGCTGCAGTCAGTGCGGCAGTCTGAAACAATCCATAGACTACTTTTCGTCATCGATCAATATCGATTTTATTGATTTCTCAAAAAGTTCGAGCTACGGGGCTGGGTGTTGGCACGGGGGGGGGGTATGTGAGCATGCTAATTATGAATATATTATTGACAGGGCCGGGCGGAGCCGGGTTTGCCAGCTAGTTGGGCAATAAGGATATTTATCGTTATGCAAATAAATTGATGTTGAACTAGTAGAGTTTTTTTTGTAAGATTGAGCAGCTAGCTTCGTAATCGGCAAGCGACGGCCTTTCCATACAAATGCCGTTGTTAGCGTAATCTGACAAGGCAGCATCCTTTACTCTGTTCAGTGCCTTCCCTCTTTAGCCAGGTTGTACCTTTTTAAGTCGCTCGTTACGGTAGCAAACTTTGAGATTCTGCACCTTGTGCTCTTTTTTTAAACATACAGATCCTGCAGTTTCTGTTCTAAATCGCAAGTGACCGTTCCCATTGTCAGATGACAGAGTACGAATGTGGTCGAACATCGCGTCTGCAGCTGAGTCAGGGTGGGATTTCTCTACACGTTGGTTTTCTCAGACCGGAGAATTGAAGCACAATATGAAGAGTATCAGGTGCGTCAACCAACATGTTGTGCATTTTTTGGAAAGAGAGGTATTATACCATTTTGAATAGTTTGTAAGAATGTAAGAGACCGCCCAGTATCAGCACGAAACTTGCACTGGGAGAACATTGGACTGAAAATGCTTCACTTGAACAATATACAGTCATAGATTTTACAGTCATAGATTTTCATATATGGTCTTGATTGGATGAAACGTCAAATTTGCAAATGACGGTATCCTCAGTTTAGAATGTGGAGTATTGTGCCTGTGGATTTGAATGCTTTCATGTGCATAAACGCTCGAATACTCGCTAGTCTCAGTGAAATCCGAGGTTTGAGCTTCACAACTCTTCGTGTAAGTCTCAGCAAGCTTCATAACTCTAGGTGATTTTAAAAAGGTTGCTTTCTATCAAAAATATTATGAATGGGCCAAGCTTGAAATGAAAGAATTACACTGGAACGAAACTGATGGAGTATGGTACGATTACGATTTGGAGCGAAAGGTCAAAGCTACCTTAGTTTTACTTCTTATTTTTGTACTCCAAGAAAATCATAAAGTGTGGCAACTTGGTGGTTTCAACCACCCAGATGTTGCTGTTTAGAAGTAGCGCTCATGATGAGAACGATGTACCTAGCCTACTGCGCAAACTGCGCGACCTAACACGCCATACAAGTACCAAGTTGAGTTGTTTATGTTAGTGGCACTAACTACACAAAAAAGAAGTTTCTTTACTACAAATAAATCTACATTACCTAAATCGGAATGCTATCAAACATGAAACGAGGGCCGTCTCGTATTTAGTTCGATCCAAGCATACTGTATTTTTCTCAAAAGGTCATTCAAAAACTTCAACTCGTGCATGGGGCGAGGGCGCGATAACCTTTCCTACTGCCTTGTATTCCGACTCCAACTTTGGAATCACTTCCAATTCAGTTTTACAATAGATCAACTCGAATCCGCGAAGAGAATTAATCCAGGCATCTACCGACAGAATCGCTCCAACATCGTCCAAAAGGCAGCCGGCTCAACCGCTCTCTTCAAAGAAACATAGGGGGACGCATTTCGTGTGGCTGAAATCTATTTCAGATAGAGAATGTAAATAAATCGATAAAGGCAAAAACGAAAGTCAGTAAATTGAGGTGCATCCGCTTTCATAGCCGCCATGCTGGAAACAAGTCAACTAAGGAGTGTTCCGAAGGCGATTGCTGCAACACGCGTTTGACTACCGTTTGTTGCCGGACAGCGCGACAACCGTTGCTTCCTGCCTCCTAGAGGAGCGCTTTTACATCGCGAGACTAAACAAAAAAAATGTTTGCACTTTCAAGAAGTACATGTAAGAATACAATGCCGAAAGGTGACAAGGGATATACAGGCCCCGTAAAATCCAATTGCCCACGCGTCGCTTTGAACACCAAGGCGCGGCGCGGCTGGGAACGTTTGGTCCCGAAGCGCTACAGGCTTTTTGCGAGCGACAATGAGCGCGCACCCTTTCCACACATATTTTTTCAAACTTGTGAAGGGAGCTTTCGTCAAGATATACCTTGCATTGACGAGAACAACATGAAAGCTAAGGAAAGATTTCCTGGAATATAGGAACGCCGACAGTCGTTCGCGACGACCGCTCGCTTACGCTGGTGTTCAAGGCACGGCGCGGGCAATTAGGTTTTACGGCGCCTATATCTAGTTTAACAGTTTGTGGGAACCCTTTGAAGTAAGGTACTCATTGATGCAATCGTTATTTGAGCCATCCTCCCCCCCCCCACCCACACCCTAGCCTCTGACAAGGAAGAGTTCCCAAGTCAGCTCGACCAAACCGTAGATGTCATACATCATCGTAACGGATTTAAAACGCTGATTCCAAATCTGCTTTCCTTTTCTGCGGAACGGCTCTCCGAAAGAAGTTATGAGCTATTAAAAGTCTAAATTTGTCATGTTTGAAGTAGCTTAAAATTAGCTAAAAGTTCTAAAACAATACCTAGCGGACTTCCACTGGCTGTGTTCCGTCCTTGTAGTCAGTATAGTTGTTACAAAACTGATAACCCACTTTCACATGTTATTGTACAGCTTTCGCCAATTTTATGGCACTTAGTATTAGGCAAATCTGGACTTTCAAACGCTCATTACTTCTTTCGGAGAGCTGTTCCGAAGGAAAAGCAGGTTTGGAATCACCGTTCCAAGCACGTTACGATGACATATGACTCATTCGAGTTGGCATAGCTGACTTGGGAACTCTTCCTTGTGAGTAAATTTTTGGCTACATTTCTAACAGGATACAGATTTTAGGCTCATGTAAACACTTACTACGTATCGAACGCAGTACCCGTGTATGCTAAATGCTACGATGATGAAGATGATATTACTCCTCGACGAGTATTAAAGTATTTGAAAGTTGGTTAAGCTGCTATTTGTTCAGATTTTGTTTGAATTTTATTTTTTAGAGAGTTGGAGTGTTGAACTTTACCAAGGGGCTTCCAACTTCGCTTGTTATGGGTAGCGAACAACAGTGGGATAAGGAGAACGCTTGGCCGCCTATGATTCATTTAGTCATCGAAGGTTTTCGCACTACTGGCGAAAAAGATCTTATGGAGGTTATCTGAGGGAGGAAAGTTTTCAATTTGAGAAATAATTCCATAATTTGAGGCAGCCGAAAAGATGGCAACATCATGGTTACATCTAACATATCAGTCATTCATGCGAACGCATGCCATGTTTGAAAAATATAATGTGACAACATTGACTGAAGAAATATCAGCTGGAGGAGGCGGAGAGTATGAAGTGCAGGTATGCAGTCTTCGATTAGGGTCTACGTATCTGCTGTCTATGCTCTTTCTCTGCGACTTTAAGGCTTTGAACCGCGTTGCATAGCGCGTCTTATGAGTTGTCGCGACCAGTAAAATTTGAGTAGCAATCAGCATAACATTCGAGTTTTGATGAAGTGTCAGATAGTTTCATATTTCAAAAAAGTTTTTTGACTTTTTGATCTTGACTTAGCACACCTACAATTTTTTAAAGTAGTATCTCACCAAAAATATAGCCTGTAAATATACACAAACAAATTTTCAGACTGGATTTGGTTGGACAAATGGTGTAATCATGGATTTGCTTGACAAATATGGAGACAAGGTCAATACTGCTAAACGCAAATTAATAGTTACTGCCCCGGCTTTGATTGTATTTTGGCAGTTAATGTAGATAATTTTTTGCTATAATCGTATGCAATTATAATGTAAATACTTGTAGTATTTTATTCTCAGCTTTGTATCCTTAACCTACCTTATGAAGCTGCTTTGAACTTATAACAATTTTTCGTAGGCAGCATACTAATCATGAACGCTTCAGTTGTAGTAAATGTCAGTTAAGTGGGAGGGATGGCGAAAGATGAAAAATTGGGTATACGATCAGAGCGGAAATTGGTGTGGGCAAAGAGGTGTGGATGGGTAGGGGAGGGGAGAGGGTAGGAATGAGAGATTAGTTAGCGGATGAGGCGTTTGGCAAATATCCTTGGATATCTGGTTATAGGCCGTCCGCGTTGTGCTCGAAAGGCAACGCTGTTGCGTCCATCGGAAATAGTTCGTGACTGGAAGAGGCACAGAGAAAAAAGCGGCGAGGGTGCACGAAGAAAGAGCGCCGCGCACTACACACTACGGCGCCCTATGCGGGCCGCCTATACTTTCTAGGAAGAAGTTATGGTTTTCTTTCCTTACTATCAAATAACATAATATTTGTTAAAAAGCAAGCTTCACAAAATAGTGGCTCAACCAATCACAGTGCTTTTCACTTCTTTCAGTCCATGTTGAAACTTATTTAGTTCATGTGCTTTGTTAACAATGTTCACCCTAAGAAACGTTTCTATCATTAATATATTTAATTAGCCCCAAAATAAATGCATTTGTCGTTATCGCAAGTAGTTCATAGAGCAAGGCGCTTCTTTACTTGAATATGGTGTGCATTGCATACTATACTTGGGACCGAATCGAATGATTATTCGATTATTCGAATAAATTATTCGAATGCGAATCATTCGAAAAGTCGAATATTCGAAAATCTGAGATTTCGAATAAAATTCGAAAGTCGAATATTCGAAATTTTCAGTTTTCGAATATATTTGATATTCGAATATTCGAAAATTTCAACTTTCGAATACTATTCGAAAGTCGAATATTCGAAAATCTCGATTTTCGAATATTATTCGAAAGTCGAATATTCGATGGTCATCAATTCGATCATTCGATGGACATCGAATATTCGAATCATTCGATGAACATCGAATATTCGAATATTCGATAATTTGAATGATGAAACCAGAGCACGGCGCAGATTGTATGGAAGCAAGCTGGATTTGGTTTTTGGGGCGAAAAAGCAAAAAGATATTATTTTTGTGGCCAAAAATTGCGACGTTTTTTAGTCGGCGTTTCGTCTTTTGAGGGTTTCTTACGTTTGGGGCTGACAGTCAAAGGGGACTTTGTTTTCAAGAAGCCTAGACAAGATCTCATGCTGGGCCCTAGATGGAACTCCTTAGGCCTAGCACGTCACTGTAGGAGTTTCTAGGCTACAACTCTCAATGGGGAGTGTATATGTATATGCTTTGTGGTCCTGGCGCAGTAGTCTATACAGTAATCGTGATGCGCCACTTCTGTGGCAGATGTAGCTGCTATCGATTTTTCCCTATCCAGGGACGCCAGATTTTGATGTTCTTCAACAGCGTCTATCGGTTCTTCATGAGCGTCATTGAGTAAATTTTAGAACTAAACTTAGAGATTTAACGTTTAGATCCACCGTCACACGGCTTTATGACCCCAACAGGAGAAAGTGAAAAATGAGTACCTTATTTGATCTGCGCACCGAACAACCTCCTAGACCAAGGTTTAACAAGATTTCAAAATTTTGTAGATACTGGTCATTACGATCCTTCCCCCCCCCCCCACATGCCTGCTGAAAGTACGAGCAAAATATACTCCGGAGGACTTTTTAGGTGCATCTCTTCTTTTGTACACTATTTTTCTCTGACCAAACTCAGATTTATCTCTGAGTTCCACGATAGACTGTAACGCCCACCAAACTCACAGTTATCACAAAGCAGAGCTGGATAGAGGAACGAACACCTCAATTGGACCACGCCTCCGCGGGCTGCTGGTCCTTTCGTCCTACTGTTGTGCATCCTGTTAGGACCAGTAGTCCGCGGAGAGGGTGCCTAATTGAGGTGTTCGTTCCTCTACCCAGCACAGCTGCGCGTTCGGTGGCGCTGTTTCTTGTGCAGAATGATTTCGACAGTGTTTTCCTACTAGGGATAAATTGCCGGTTACGGGATCTCCTGCCATATATCGCTTTCTAGATTTGGTCCATCCAGCTGTTGAAGGGGTAAGAAAGGTGCGAGTCAGCTCAGATATAACTCAGAGTTAAGTCAGAGTAACTGTGAGTTCCGACCAGCTTACTACCGACCCTGCCTGAGGTCTAGTGCACGCTGTTCTTCATTCGCATTTGGAAAAGGTGATAGATGTGAACGTGAACGTGAAGGTGTCCCTGATATCGTCGCAGCGTTACTTCTAATCGACATTGTAAATTGAGGGCGTGCTCAATAATGCACTAGCGACCGGGAGGATAGTGTTGTGTCAAGAAGTTGGTCGTTTGTTGTAGTGTGAGAACAGGGATATGGTAGAACCAGTCATTGTATAGTGTTTCCGCAGCAGCGGTCTAGCTTATCGCGTTGCCAACGAGAGCAATGCTTTTTGCCACGAGTGTCGAGTCGAAAGTTGTGGGTAAAGCACTCATACAGTTCAACAATGTGTATACTATACAGGGTGTCCCAAAAAATGTGCCTACTGTTTGATTGTAAATAACTCCCTTGTAATGAAGTGTTTCGAAATGCTTTGAGCACCGTTTTGTAGAGCGAGGTTGAATTTAGATTTACAGAATGGAGTGAATCATCTATCGCTGTTCATTACTGTAGGATTACGGTAAGAACTTCCAGCACATGGAACCATTGTGAAATATACCACCTAACAAAATTTTTTGAAAAAATCTGAAAAATCATGTACTAGGATTTTCGCGCATACCGATTCCTCCTAACAACTTTCCACGAGTGTATTCAGCTTTTTTGACGGTGTAATTACATTTCTGACAAATGCTGGGAATTGGGTTATTACGATTTACCGGGGATAACTTAGAAAAGAAGCATCATAGCAAAATGGGAATTTCAAATTCGAAATCAGCTGCTCCCATTACCGTAGTAGAAGAGTTTTGCCTTGTTTGGTTTTGTTCCGAAGCAGAGTATAGCCTCCAAAGGCCTAAAATTCTCGTCTAAGTTCCTACCGTAATCCTACAGTAATGAAAAGCGGTAGATGATTCGCTCCGTACTGAGAACCTAAATTCAGCCTCGCTCTATAAAACGGTACCTAAAGCTTCTCGAAACACTTCATCACAAGAGAGTTATTTACAATCAAACAGTAGGCACATCCCTGTATGTGTATCGTGGAGTTGTCGACGGCGTGGACTAGATGTAAAGAATCCGCGCAACGCGCTGAAATATACGTCATGTACTGCAGGGTAGTAGTCCCATAAAAGGGAACTACAAAGACCTAAAGTACTTGTAAAGTATGCGCTTGGTCATGTTATCATATTACATAAACATTGATTTTTCGAATGATATTCGAAAATCGAATGATATTCGAAGGTTGAATGATATTCGATATTCGAATGACATTCGATATTCGAATATTCGAAATTTTCGATTTTCGAATATCATTCGATAGTCGAATATTCGAAATTTTCAACTTTCGAATATTATTCGGTAGTCGAATATTCGAAATTTTTGATTTTCGAATATATTCGATAGTCGAATATTCGAAATTTTCGATTTTCGAATATTATTCGATAGTCGAATATTCGAAATTTTCAATTTTCGAATATATTCGATATTCGAATATTCGAAAAATTTTGAATTTCCCCAAGTATACTGCATACTGCCATGTTCAAGCTGTTGCGATTATACCATTACAATTACAATAAAATAGAAATTTGTTTTACATTCTACATTAGAATACACCAAAGTTTAGCGTCTGAACAGTTAGTACCAATATTTATCAAAACACATGAATAATTCTCTCTGTGATTTTGGATAACTAAAGGTTATGATTACTACAATGACTATAAAGTATATTTAATACAAACAAATGACTTGACTACTGATTCCATGAGAATCATAACTTATGATAAAGCGCGTGTCCGTCTGTTTGTCTGTGTGTGTTTATGTCCTTCTGTCACGCAATTTATAGAGTAATCAAGATTTTGAATCAAATCAAGGTTGTAATCAAGATCTTGGGCTGATCTGCTGATAGCACTCAGTGGCGGACCGAGAGTAGGGGAGGCGGGGAGTCGCGAAATTTTTGAAATTTACTTATATGGCTTATAAAAATGCGCAAATGTCTTGTTTATTTCTGCAAACAATTAAAACAATTTTTTAAAAAATTTAAAAATTTAAACTAGCCTTGTAAAAATTTTTTTGAGGGCGTGGCTGACGCTACGTCCCCTTTTTCCAGCTTTTAGGTGTTGGGGACCCACAAAAATTTTTTCGGAGTGCGTGGCTAGCGCCGCGCACCTTCATTAGAAAAATTTTTTTGCCGCCCCCTCGTCCCTCCCCCCCCCTCCCACTGATAGCACCCTATAGCATAAATGAGAAGTGATTCAAATCAGACAAAACATCACAAAAGTTGAAAGTTTTCATGAATATTCTGGGTAATGCCAAAGTTAATTGAGATGTGAAGTCTAGCATGTACCAAAGATTGAATTTTCACACTCTGGTTTCGGGGCTTGAACTAGACCAGAAGTGTGGCCAACCTGCCGCCTCTCATCAGTAGTTCACAGGAAGGCTTCCAAAAGTAATATGAAATAATAAGAAGAATGAAGAGTCTTAGATGAAAGGAGGGAATGGAAGAGGGCGCAGTGTAAGACAAATAAGCATGAATGAGTGCTGACCCGTAAAGTCCCCTGATTATCCCCGCCTTGTACTACCCGCTCCGCGCCCAGTAGGTCAAGCATTTTACTATGTACTTAAAGGCAGTGTCCGGGCAAAAACTCGATTTTGAGATTTTGTGCTTATCCGGGCCTATTCGCTACGCTGAATCCGA